TTATTATTATTATTATTATTATTATTATTATTATTATTATTATTATTATTATTATTATTATTATTATTATTATTATTATTATTATTATTATTATTATTATTATTATTATTATTATTATTATTATTATTATTATTATTATTATTATTATTATTTTTTGTCGTCAGGTATATTAATTACATTACCCCAAGAATAAAATGGTCTTCATAATGCACATAAAATGTGCAATCTAATCATACCACTCTCGTATAAGTAACACTCTAGGGGTCACCAACCCTACTGCAAATACTTCTCTCTTCTTCTATTTTCAAAATTCTTTCGTAAACACACTCTTGAGTTTCATTTCATTCATTACAAAAAACATATAGCCATAGCTGCATTAAAACATGACAATCACAATGTCTTTTCATCTCTTCTTCCTCTTTTTCACAATGCCATTCCTTGTATTTTGTGATGTCCAAATGCCTTCAGGTAACACAAACATAACCTCTCTCTCTCTCCTCTTTTTCTGAGCTACAAATTTACATAATATTTGCAGGTTCTTCAACACAGATTCTTAGTTCTTTCCATGAAGACAAAAATGTGTCCATAACCATAACAGTCTCAGAAAAAGAAGATCATGCTCATTCCATCTCTACAAACTTTTGGTTTCATGGTACATACAACATATCTTTTGCTCTCTTTTTTTTCTTCATAAAATAAGCAAAACACTTTTTCTAAAAGAAATACTATCTTATTATTATTTGATCAGGTTCTTGCACAAAAAGAGACATAAGCATCTCACAAAGCAAAGGTTCGACTTCTGGAATTCCACAATACATAGTGCAAATTGTAAACACCTGTGTTTCTGGATGTGCACCTCATGAAATCCATCTCCATTGTGGCTGGTTTGCTTCTGCAAGAATAATCAATCCTAGATTGTTCAAAAGACTCTCTTATGATGATTGTTTGGTGAATGGTGGAAAACCTTTGAGTTCTAGCCAGATTATTAGATTCACTTATTCTAATTCCTTCATGTACCCTCTTTCATTCAAGTCTGCTACATTTTGCTGAATTCAAGAGAAATTATATTATACAACTATTGTTTAACTTTATTTAGCTATATATCGTATTTTTATACTTAATAATATATGTATTATGGCCCTAATAAGACAGTTCAGGAAGTATTTGTGTAACTATATCTGAGTGCAGGACACATATTCAAATCTACAGTATCTTACTTATTCAAGTTTAAGAGATAAACTATTATTAAAAATGTATAAATATACTATGATTATACGCTACTCCCTCCGTTTCAAATTTAATGTTTTTGCACATAAATTAAAACATATAATAATATTGTTATAAGACATTATAGTTTTATAAAATTAATTCTATTAATATATAATAATCATTATTATATTGAAAAATGAAAATAACAGTAATTTTGAAATAATTTATTTTTATTAAAAACGATAAGATTTTAAAACGAAAGAAATATAATTTAGTTATGAGAGTTAGAAGAGAGGGTTAGACTCAGACATAGAGGAGAAAATTGACGAGACCATGCAATTAATTAATCACACACTAAAATTTGGTCTTTGATTTCATCACTGGTTTACTTTGGGGAAGGTAGTTGTGTGTCGGTGTTTAGCAATAACACTTCATAGCTCTTTTAAAAAAAAAATTTAACATGATAATGTGGATGTTTTTCACCTTGTGTTTGGTTTATTTTTATTTTTATTTTTTACCTTTGCATTGAAATGTGGAACAGTTAAGATATTAAAGTTTGTGCTTTTTTTCCTTTCAATTATATTGATAAGTTTATAAGGTACTATTATATAGTACTAGTACGTTTTAATTGCATCTCTAGGCCTTATATATAGGCATTCTAGGGTCAGCAATTACTCAACAAATTTAGCAATTACTAAATCTGTGGAGGTGTAAACAAAAAATATTTGATACCCACTTTTCTGAGTTACTTTGGAATTTATGAGGCATTAAGAGTTGACAATGACATTACCTATACGAGAAGTAGGGGACTAAAGAAAATACAAAATAGTGAAAGAGATACATTGCTTCCCCTATTCAAGTATCTGTCTCCTAGACATAGTATCCGGTCCCTCGTTTACTATGATGTTTTGCAAAATATGTTTGGATTCATGATAAGTTTTTAAAACAAAAATTGAGATGAGAATTTTTTATTTATTAAAGTGACATTGAGTTCGGACAGGCTATACAACTCTATAAAATCGATTTAATATAAGAATTCAACCCAAAACTTTGACCACTGAGATCAAAGAATAGGTGTATTCTCACTAAGGAGTTACACAAAAACGTCGTACACTACTCTAATCTTAGTTGGAATCCATCTAACGGTCTATCCTATAAGGTGCCACATTCATTGATGGAGGTTCTAACCGTCGTTCATATATAAGTGTGATTCTCCATCTTGCTAAGATACATATCTTTACACACTTGCAAGTTTCTTCTCTATGACTTCATTGACTTTGATGTTAGAGCTCCAACCTTGCATGCTCCTCTTCTCTCTGTCTACAAATGATTTCTACCACCATATCAACTACCTTTTATGATGGACTTCACAATCTTACCACCGATATTTCGTTCCATATTAGAATAGTCGTCACGTTTGTGGGAATTGTCTCTTAATTCTCACAAAACCGCACATCAGATTTTTATGATTTTCGTTGTTCCGCCACCACAACCATTTCAATCATCCTTAACTTTTATAACCGTCAACAATTATAGTTTTCAAAGAAACTTGATCCCTCTCTCATCACAATGCCGCCTCTATGACAAACATCGTCACACCGGTCTTCGATCCCACGTATGAAGATCCACTTCATACTCCAGAAGCGTACAATCTAATCCTAGTGACTTATCTAATTGCTAATTATCGCTAAATTCAGACCTCTTTGTTGGTTGGACATAGAACTTTCAGTGCCATACTTCCATTTTAGCTGTTTCAATAGCTACTCCAGGGCCAAACGTCGAAACAATCTCTACCTCCATCGTAATTCCAAGTGTCGAATCTAAAAATGCATCAAAGCTTCTAGAGACTATATGCTACACCCGGGATGCAAAGTGAAAATGAACTCATAGCAAAAATCTATAATCAGGTGAAAAAACAAAATGTGCATCACTTCAATGAAATACTTTTACATGTAAAAGAAAACAAATAAAGGGACCCATCACGTATCGTTACTTAACTTAAAGTAATGTAGCACGGTAACCACGAGACCATGTATGTAGTTGTTCCCAATGATGCCACATGGTAGCAAATGAAGGTGCCTGAATCACCAGAGCATCTGCCACCGCAGTTCTAACTACCCTCCTCATGATTGTAGGGGCGTGGATGAAAGTCATACACCTTCCGAAGATCTTCGTCCCATGAGAAACAATTAAAGCTAGACAATTATGATGCAAAAGGGATCCAGACAAACACATAGAGCATGCAGACACTATTAAAACCATGTGAGAAGTGTGAAAACTATTTGTCTTAACTTTGAAAGAATCCTCTATGACATGGCTCAAAACTTTGAAGGATGGCTTCATCGATTCTTGGAGAAATTTTTCCAATGAGTTGACAATGCAATTCACAATGCAGAAAATTCAACAGATAATGATATCCATCCTTATTGAGATCCACCAAAATAAGAAATAAAATATCTTACAATATATTGATATGTTTAATAAAGTAGTCATGGAAGTAGGGGATCCAGCAATGATCTAAAATGTCAGATCGTCAAAAAGGGACCGAGGAGGAATTGTATGTTCTACAAAAAGTTAGGGTTAAAGAGAATCGGGAACATGCGTGAACTCCTCAATCAAGTCAAATCATATATTAACTACAAAGAGAAATTGTTAGCATAGGATGTGAAAAGGAATAAAGGATCAAGGAAGTTGGTGGATAACACACAAGGAGACAATAAATGTCGGGAGGATAGAGACAAAAACATACATAAAGGACCGAACATGTAGCTCTTGTTGTATAGAACACTCAATAACTTTTGATAAAATATATTACAAGAATGCACCAATACTAAATTCAAAGAATTTGCACCAACATACACATAAATTTTTTTGCTTCCATCAGAATCATGGGCATAACACTAGTGAATACGTCCACTTAAAGGATGACATCGAGGAGATGTTAAAGAAGGGGGTATTGGACACATACGCCCAAAAGGGAGATAGAAAAAGATAATTACAAAATACACATAGGTTCCCACAGAAGTACTAGAAGACATAGCCATTCACCATATAAGTGGTGGTATCCTCGTCGAGGTGATACACTTCTTAAGAAAATAATTCAAAGCCACAAAAGGGTCTAGTAAGGCCAAGGATGAAAACAGATAGGAAGACAAAGTTTGAAGGGGAAAATGAACATTCATTGCATCCATCACTAGAGGTTAAAACTTCATCGCTGCCATCAACGATGGTTTCCTATGCACAAAAACACCATCAAAAGGGATCGTGAAGATAAATATTGTAAAAGTAACAATGGTAGATAAAAAGGGAAATTTCAACAAGATCGAGAAAAGCTCATTCCTAACAAGATCTTTCCAATAGTTATCACGACAACCATGGACAATTTCAACGTGTCGAGAATACTCATTAAAGGGGGAAGCACATGTGGCATGCTTCATGCCAAACTCTTTGAGAATATAGACTTGAAAAAGGAAAATCTATCACCTTATACGGGCTCTGACCTACAAGATTTAAATAGAACATGGATACACCTTTGGGTTTTATAGGGCTTATAGTTACCTTCAAAGAAGTAAGAGACACTCTAAATATAGACACACAACTTGTCGGAGTTCCCTATAAAAGTATCTACAAGTGTATCTTGGGGAGACCTTTCTCAGTAACTTTGATATTGTTTCCTCCGTCATCCACCTGAAGATGAAGTACTAGGATGTACACGATAATTCAGTGACTATATGTGTTGACTTTTCAAGGATATTGACATGTACATAAATCCTTACAACATAACCTGGAGCAAGTCCATACAACACAGGGGAGATAACAAATGACCAGTCCTTTTAAACAGTTCCCTATAGAAATTAACACCATTGACTTCAACCTGCGCTTGGATAAGGTTATGGATGGTCATGTTCATCGGTCAAAAAGGCAATACCTTCCAATTTAATAAACACAGGTGCAATTTATCAAGGGTCAAAGCCAGACTGTCAACTATGTCATATACAACACATAATTTCAATCCGAGAGATCTCATTACGGTCTTCTTATACAACGGAGATCTTATGATGAGCAAGGAATCATTGGATAAATGGAGATTAATTTAATCGAGATGCAACTCAAACCTAATAAAAGACCCCACACTATGAAAATCATCCACAATAAGCCCCTTCACGATCAAGATGAGCTACCCAATTGAAACAATGTCAGATTTAAGTCATTTCATTACAAAATTTTATATATTTTGTGTAATCCACACAATGTAAACATTTCATTAACAAGATAGAAAATGGTATTTCTTCGCCTAGAATCCTCATAATATCATTACGTGAATGAAATTCTAAGTCTCAAATCTATGTAAAGTAAAAAATCACGAACATGGAAGGGGTCTGCTATCAAAGACACTACAAATATCGAAATAAAAGGTATTGTGCGACTAAGGCCACTGAACCCCTGAATGTAATAAGTTACACGTTCAAGAACATTGAAACCTCTAACGCGAATGTGGTGATTCAAACTCACCCCTGGTAGTTAGCAAGTCCATGACATAGGAGGTGAAGCCTGCACTTTCTCTCATAGGGTATCCATTAAGTTTTAGGGTTTTAGTGCTTATCATTCAATTATATTTATAGTAATTGAGTCATTCACCATTATGTCTCTGCACATCTCTTAAAATTGGTCCCTTTTCATCCAAATGTCTTTTACATGCATAAATAAGGCCTTTGACCAAAAGTCAACACAAAATAACTCAAGTTAGAAAGTGAATAATTTGAATCTAGAACATTTTGGAAACATGATTCAAATCAATTTTTCCTTAATTAAATAATATAGTTTCACCTTTCCCAAGATTA